TCTGTTTTTCTTTTTGAATTGGGTTTTTTTACAATAATTCTCGGGGTGCCTGGGTGGCGCAGTCGGTTAAGCATCCGACTTCAGCTCAGGTCATGATCTCACAGTCTGTGAGTTCGAGCCCTGCATCAGGCTGTGTGCTGACAGCTCAGAGCCTGGAGCCTGCTTTGGATTCTGTGTCTCCCTCTCTCTCTGCCCCTCCCCTGCTCATGCTCTGTCTCTCTCTGTCTCAAAAATAAAAACATTAAAAAAAATTTTTTTTCAGAAGCAGAATCACTGAGCCAGAAGATAGAAGCATTTGGGAGATGTTTCAAAGACCAGATTGCCCTCTAAAAATATTGCGCTAGCTTAAAATGCTACCTGATATATACAGGTTTTCCAGACCTTCCTGGGATTTTATAACTTAAAAAATATGGCAACCTTTTGACAATTTTTCAATAAATGCAAGATGCTATTTCATTATGGTTATAATATTCACTTCTTAATTTACTAGCAAGGTTAAACATTGTGCCCCATCTTTATACTGTTGATATTTTTGAGAACTGTGTTGTAAAGGAAAAGAGGAAGATTGTGAACTCTGTGCTGGAACAAAACTCTGGATTCTCCTTGGCAACTTCTTGCCATTTTGGAACTACTTTAAGTTCAGAGGAAATAAAGTATGGTATTACCAAGTTTCCTCTTGGTTCAGATTAAACTTTTTTCCTTTAGACTCTGTGTCAGAAAATGGAAGTAATAGCAGTAGTCCCAAGTTGACATTACCACCAGTTTCTCCTTGTGTGAAAAGAAATTTAATTTCACTTTCTTTTGGAAGCACATAATGTGCTCAGTAAAAATAAATACTTTTTAGGGACCATTTACATGGTTGATCTGTATAGTAAACGGCATAGCCTTTTGTACTTAATAGGTACCAAGTACGTGTTAGTGATGGAATAAGATTAGAGTGGTTCGGGATCCAGACTGCTGGATTTGAATCCTGGCTCTGCTGCTTACTGGCTGTGTGACTTTGAGCAAGTTATCTAGCTGTGCCCGTTTTCTCATCTGTAAAAGGGAGCAATCGGTACCTATGTTACTGAGGATTAAGTGAGCTAGCATGACTGAGGCAGTTAGGATAATGCCTGGCACATGCTAAGCATCGTATGTGTTAATTTTGTTGTTGAATTCAATCCAGACTTTGAAGATCACAGATATTCAGCAGTATTCTTTCCTAGGCTGCTTTGGTTTTTGAAAACCCATAGAAGAGTCTCTAATCTCATTAACATGGATGGCACAAAGCCCACAGTTACATTCTGACGTTTACATATTGAGGGCACCTCACACTCTCCACAGAGTTTACTCTGACTTTACTCATAATGCTAAGCTGAGGGATTTTTTTTTAAGTCTGCTCATATTATATTAGAAGTAGCAAAACAGGAAGATGAGGTTGCTTTAGGAATACTGACAGACACAGGTATTAAGAAGGGCTATCAGGATGTAGCCTGACATCAAGGACCAAGAAAGTACGTTTCCACGAGAATTTCTTAAGCACCCTACTCTGGGCTCAGTTGCTACAACATGGCTTTAGCCCTGGGTTCATGTCTCACCTCTGTCCTGTCACTTACTAGATTTAGGGGACCTTGGCCCAGTTACTTAACCTTGCTAAGCTTCGTTTCTTCATTGCTAAAGTGAAGGTAAACTATTTCACATGGCTATTTACTTAGTGCCTGGCACGTGGGTACTTAAAACATGGTAGCTGTTTTGTTTTTTAATTACTCATTTTGATTTATTTAGTGTAGGCTCAGTCTGCTTCTGTGTATTTTAGAAGTCCCCGAATGCATCATATTATAACCTGGTGTAATGTTTGATATTCTTAATAATGACATTGTGTTATCAAGATGTGAAATTCAGAATCCTTTATTTTAGTGGTCAGAGAATTGCACAGGCTGAGATAGGTCATTAAAGTAATGGCAAACTTAAATCACTTATTTTTTGGTCACAATTTATGTATTTGAGAGATCCCCATTTTCAAACAAAAACAAATTTAGAAACATGATGGTATAAATTAATCTCAAGTATTTAGTAGGAAGAACATTTCGTTCCCATACAGAAGTGCTTCTTTAATCCCATGCCTGGTTGGAGCCAGTACTGAGGTGATTCCATTGCTCTTGCCTCTGAAGTATTTTTGTTGTTTTGGGATGGCTTTGCTTATTCAGCTTTGACTTTGTTACATTATCTGTACAGAAAATGAGTCAATATTATTTTTCCCTTAGGGTGGATGGTTGTATCTAACACACTAAGAGCTGAGTTTCTAATTAAGGCTGATAGATGACCTACCAGATGTTTGACAGCCAAAACTATGAGGTGTCTCTTTGTGAGCAGGGTCGTAAGGACCTCAGCAAAGAAGACTTCCACTTATCAAAAATAGGGCACCATTTCCCTACACGGTTTGTAGAAGTAAGAATGAAGGGAAGAAAGTAACAAGAAAGAGGGGAAAGTTACTCAGGCATAATTATAGTTAACATTGTGGTGGGGGGTTTTCAATACCCTTTTTCCTCACTTCTTAAGTGTTAGTATTTTCTGTATTACTTGTACTGCCTTCTCTCAAACATTCCCATAATAGACTTCATTTTTCAGTGTTCTGAAATATAGTGAAGAGTCTCTGCTTTTAATAAAATTGTGCTTCGTAAGGCACTAAAACCCTGTAAGTGCTCCAGTATCGATCAGTTACAAGGTAGTCGACCATCTGGTTTATTTTTGTTTCAGGGGGAGAAGATAGAAGACATCCCAAAGGAAGTCTTGATGGACTGTGCCCATCTTGTGAAGGCCAATAGCATTCAAGGTCAGTTTTCCTAGAGGCGTTTTCAGAATTAACACCGATTTCTGTGTCTGAAGTAGAATACTTTCAGAGAATATGTCGGGGACTTTGGCTGGAGTCAAAGGAATAATATGTAGTATGCCTTTCCCCTGTTTTGTCCTTTCAAGTGGCAGTTCTGCTACCTATCAGAGAACTAAAAACCCATCTCCCCACCCCTCTAATGACGGTGGCCCTTTCTTGGCTCTTTCTACCCTGTCTTCCTTCCTTTGACTAGAAAGTTGTCTAGACCTGCCTACCCTTGAGGTTATGTAGAAAGGCTTTCAGAAATGAGGTTAATGGCTAAGCAAGAGATGTGTCTCATGGTTTTATTTTTAATGTTGTGTGATGTCTTTATTTCTGTCATTTGTCCTTAGATTCTAGAGCTCAAGTCTCTACATCCCTGTTTCCTACTTTTTCTTTCTCTCCTTCTCCTCCTAAATACTTCTTTCTCCCTGCGAATTGTGAAGGTATCGAGTCTGTTGATCTTTTTATCTCCCAGAGAATCTTACTTGGTTGGTCTGGGGTGATCCAGGAGTATCCATATTTTTACAGTGCTCTCCGGGAGATTATAATGTGCAGAGAGGGTTGAGAACAATTGCTCTAAGTGTTTTAGGTAAGGCCTGAAATTCTGGGCTTGGTGCTTCTTTGTTTCTACTGTCAGTAGTAGATTTAATCTGTCAGTAGTCAGTATAGGTCAAGAAGGACAACTTTTGGGGAGGAAATGAGAGTTAAAAAGGGGAACCAGGAAGGAGATGGTATGCTGCTAAGAATGATTAAGCTAGTTAGGAGGTTGGATTTTGGTGTGTAGGACATAGACCTAGGTAGAGTAGAGGTCAGTTTGGTTTGATGTGAGGGTCAGAGGTGATCCAGAGGGTTGGAAAGAAATCTGGTTTGGGTGGAGGATAAGTGCACAGGGCAGACTGAGAGCAGGTACCAGGGGTCGGTGATCACAGGACAGGAGCTGACCCGTGTACCCCTTCTCCATCGCTTAGACTGCGTTTCCTAAATCTAACTTGGGCAGCTTTAATGAGTCAGATACCTAGCCAAAGAAAGTAGAAGGCTGGTCTTGTAGAGCCACTGACTTTCAGCCCCGTAAATCATTAAGTTGCAGTTCGTTTTAGGACATTCCATTTTTATGAGTGGGACAGGGTTTCTTAAGATTTCCAGTTAAGAGCTTCTTTTATTAAAGTAAAAATAATAAAGTTAAAACAATCATTATTCTCTGTGTGTTGCAACCTCTTTCACATGTTCTTGTCCCCTTTCCATGCCCCTGGCTAGCAGATGTAACTTTATTAAAGGATCTTTGGACTCTTTATTCTGGGCCCAGTCTCTTGCTTCGTAATCTCTTTATAGTTTACCAGTTCTAGAGAAAACAGAAGAGAATACTGCCTTACTTCGCTCTGCTCTTTGGCCTTCCACAGGGAGAGCTCACTTAGCAAAATAAGGAGCCAAGCCCAGGAACCTCACTCGTGAGTCCCCAGCAGAGGACGCCAAGGAGTGAAGAAGGGGTTCTCCTGCGGGGTTTGCTAGGGACACTCCATTCCCGTTGCGGTGCAGTTGAAATATTTTCCCCCCTGCTTGACCTCAGAACCGAGGGCGTTGGGTTAATCTTGTTTGTCATCATAGAATCTGGTCAGCCAGTTTATTCATTTTAGAATCTTTTGCTAGATTAAACTTTCCAAAAGCTTCGACACTCCCTGTGACACGCCTCGCCTTATCTATACAATTGAGTCCAGACTTGTTAAGCTGGAAGTGAAGCATCTCTGATCTGACGGCAGGCTTTGTTTCCCTTCAAATTATTTCACACTCCAGCCAAAGCACGTATTTGCTGTTTTCCTACCTTATGCCTTTGCTTATGTTGTCTCCTTTGCCCTCAGTTTTGTCTTCCTTGTCAATCATCCCATGTCTAGCGCCAAACTAAGGTTCAAGGTCCACCCAGTAGTTGTAGTAATGGTAGTAGAGTTACCGTTGAATGTTAATTACATGTTTGGCACTGTGCTAAGAACATTACAAATTAATTCATTTATCAACCCTACTGAGTTATGCATATTATTTTCATCTGTAGATGAGGGAGCTGAGCTTCAGGGAATTAAGGAACCTGCCCAAGGTCTCAGAGCTCTGAAGTGTGGCAGTAGCTGCATTGAAGTCAGACAGTGTCTTTGAAGTCTTCTGTCTTAACCACTAGACTGTATTAACCTCTCCCGTGGAGCCTTTCCTTTCTTCCAGTGTGGGTGACCACTGCCCTTTCTGAGCTACTTCAGCATTCTACCTATACCTTTCCAATATCATTTGATAAGTTCTGTTTTTCATCATAGTTATTTATGTACTTATCTGCCTTCCTTCAGTTTTGGAAGGCAAGACCCATTGTCTGATCCATATTGGATCTCCCCTAGCACCATGCACATGGAGATTTTTTTTAATCTTAATTTTGAGAAAAAAATTTCAAACCTACAGGAAAGTTACAAGCAAAATATAACTCTTATATACCCTGTAGTTAGATTCAACAATTTTTCTGTATGTATTTGCTTTCTCTCTATAATGCTCTAATTATTAGGTTTTTGGCTTCTTTTTTTTTTTTTTTTTTTTTTTTTTTTTTAGCTGAACCATTTGGAGGAAAATTATAGATCTTATAACCCTTCAGCATGTCCTAAGAGCAATGACATTGTTTTAAGTGACTGTATTACTGTGATCAAATTTCAGGAAATTTAACATGGATAGAATACTGTTATTTGATACACAGCCCACATGTAGGTTTTTCCAGTTCTCCCACTATGGTCCCTTTATAGCATCTTTTTTTTTTTTTTTTTCTGATGCAGGATTATGTGTTATAGTTCCTCACCATGTGTCTAGTCTCTTTTTATCTAAAGGCACTACTTTGTCTTTCAAGACATTGACACCTTGAGTGGAGACCAGTTGTAAACTATCTTGTGATTTGGGTTGGTCTGATTCTTCCACTTGAGCAAGAGTGCATGCATTGCACTCTTCCACAGCATCTGTGCTTTTATTACTTTGATATGTTTTCTTTGGTAACAGAGTTGCCACTGCTAAAAGAAATTAAAAAAACAAAACAAAAAACACCTCTACTGAACCAGTCCAGTTTCCTCATGTTTCACATGGGATTCTGGGAGCTGTGGGGACTTTCCCTGAGTGACATAGCTGATCATGGTGGTGCAGGTCCCTTAAATCCCAGACCTTGGCCTTTTGCTTTATCTTGCTGTTTAGCCTTTATTGGATCAAGGACTCCTTTGAGGAAACCTATTCGATCCTTTTCGCTGTAAAAAAAAAAAAAAATGCATATCATAAACTTTGCATCCAATATTAGGGAGTCTCAGAAGTCCCTGCTTTCCTTCCTAATACTTTTGCTTGAATTGTGTTGTTCACCTTTGCCATTTGCCATTTGTGGGTGGGTTTAAAAAAAAAAAAAAAGCGTTCTGTGGTTTGAATCACTCGATGGCTATTTATGCAAAGCCTTTTCCTCTGTTGGATTTTGGTAATTTGCCAGTGGGTGAGGGCAAATTGCTTAGTGTCCTGCACGCATGTTGAAGACAGTCTCTCTTGGCAGGCTGCAAGATGAACAATGTGAATGTGGTGTATACACCGTGGTCTAACCTGAAGAAAACAGCTGACATGGATGTGGGACAGATAGGCTTTCACAGGCAGAAGGATGTAAGTGTTGTTTGCCACCAGAGGACACAGAGTGGAGTCCTGGTCTTTTCTGTCTAACACTTTCATTGTCAAAGGCTCAGCATGATGTATGTTTTCTAAGTCCCTCTCAGCTGCATTGCTCAGCCCCTAGACAGCGACTCCTTTGTTCTGGAGGGGAAAACGTATGATTAAGATTTCAGTTTTGGGGGTGCCTGGGTGGCTCCATCAGTTAAGTATCTGACTTTGACTCAGGTCACAATCTTGCAGTTCATGGGTTCAAGCCCCATGTTGGATTCTGTGATGACAGCTCAGAGTCTGGAGCCTGCTTCAGAATCTGACTCCCTCTCTGCCCGTCCCCCGCTCACCCTCTGTCTCCTCTCTCAAAAACATGAATAAATGTTAAAAAAAATAAAAAATTAAAAAAAAAAAGATTTCAGTTTTGTTCCCCCCTTTCTCAAAGGTGAAAATTGTGACAGTGGAGAAGAAAGTGAATGAGATCCTGAACCGATTAGAAAAGACCAGAATGGAGCGGTTTCCAGATCTAGCAGCAGAGAAGGAATGCAGAGACCGAGAAGAGAGGAATGAGAAAAAAGCCCAAATTCAGGAAATGAAAAGGAGAGAGAAGGAAGAGATGAAGAAGAAGCGAGAAATGGATGAACTTAGGTATGTCTGAGCTACGGTATTGGTGTTGACCTTGGAGATTCCTCACTGCTGATTTTCACCAGGGACCAACCTGAAGAAAGTATATACTGGTGGAGAGAGGGACATAGGACAAGCTCAGGGCCTTAAACAGCTTAGAAAAAGGTAGTTATGCGGATGCGTTGGTCAAATGACATGCTTTTATAGGGGCAGGATATGAGAGCATGTGAAATAAAGTAGCTGGTTTTATTCTTAGATAAACTATCACAGGTTATCTTTAGAGTTTGGTTTGTAAGCATCTTCAGGAGAAGAAAATATGCTATATTAATGGATTAACATCAATTAGTATGATATTTGAATAAGGTTGTCTTAGCTCCAAAGACCAGTGCCTAAAATCTGTTTTTAGAACCGTTTTTGTTAATATTTTGAAAGTTTGAAGTAATTAATGTCATGAGGCCTATCGCAAAACACTCCATTTTAAAATAGTAAACAGGAGGGGGGCCTGGCTGGCTCAGTCAGTAGAGTGTGTGACTCTCTCTTAAGATTGTGAGTTCAGTCTTCACGTTGGGCATGGAACCTACTTAGAAAAATAAAAATTTTTAAAAATAAGTGAAATGAAAACATAAGACCAAGGGGGAGAGGAAGGAAAAAAAAAAGGGAGGGAACCAAACCATAAGAGACTCCTAAAACACTGAGAATAAACTGAGGGTTGATGGGTGCTGGGAGGGAGGGAAAGGTGGGTGATAGGCATTGAGGAGGGCACCTATTGGGATGAGCACTGGGTGTTGTATGGAAACCAATTTGACAATAAATTTCATACTAAAAAAATAGGAAAAAAAAGATACATGACAGTATGAATAAAAAGGCTGGTGGTTGATAAATCAAAAAAAATTTTTTTAATAAAAATAAGTAAAATGATGAATCATAGTTAAAATACAATTTGGGTCCTGAAATACTAGTGTATAAGAATACTGACTGTATTAGTTTTCTGTGGCTACTGTAACACATTATCACAAATTTAGTGTCTTCAAACAACATAGATTTATTATCTTACAGTTCCACCTATCCATACATTAGAAGTCCAACATGGTTCTCACTGGGCTAAAAGGAAGGTGTTAGCAGGGCTGTGTTCCTTCCTGGAACTCTAGGGGAGAATCTGTTTCCTCTTCTAGCTCCTAGAGGCCATCCACATTCCTTGGCTTGTGGCGCCTTCCTCCATCGTCAAAACTGGCAATCTGGCATCTCTTACACCCTCCTTCCAAAGTCATAGCCCCCTCTTCGACCTTCTCTGCTTTTGAGGACCAGGGTGATGACATTGGGCCCACCCAGACAATCCACAACCTCTCCAATATAAGATCCTTAACCCAACCACATCTGCAAAGTCCCTTTTGCCAGATGAAGTTACATATTTGCAGGTTCTGGATATTGGGATGTAGACATCTTTGAGTAGGATCATTATTCTCCCTACCACTGGGTATGTTGTGCTATACCTGAGGAGGCTCTTAGGTTTTCTTTGTCGAAGAAGGAATCTAGTCCTGCAACTTCTACTTCTAGAATTTCTAGATTTTCCCACATTTTTCCATAGATATCATTTGTGTAAATGTAACAAAAAGAAATTGGGAGAGATGTATTGCTGTGCCTTTGGAAATGGCATAGGATCAAAATGAGCTGTCTTGCCACATGCTGACTTGATTTCCATAGAATACACTGGATTATTAGAAAGATTGTTGGGTCAGAATGCAGGTATTGTGATCAAGTACTGGTATTAGTTATCTGCATTCATGTATTCCTGTTGGGGGTTCTGCTAAAACAGGATAAGTGGCCTCATTTAAAATATAATATTCAAATGGAGAACTCCAGAAGTGTTATCTTGAGTTATAATCTGCTAACATGAGATAAACAAATGCACAGATTTCTTTTGACCTAGATTGTGAGTCTGCTTTGTGTTGTGAGTGAAAGAAAAATTATCAACTTGATCAGTGCAGTAAAATGTGTGTAATTTTGAGCAGTGTGGGATTGAGAGTAGCTTACTCATTTTTGTTTTTAGTGTGGAGTGGAGGAAAGATCGAAAACATGCCTTCTTGTGCCCTTTACAAACCTAACAATTTTGTTTAGAAACCTGATATGTTAGGCATAATAATATCACTTAATGTACTTGAAAACTTAATAAGAGGGGCACCTGGGTGGCTCAGTCACTTGAGCGTCCAATTCTTGGTTTCAGCTCTGATCATGATTCCAGGGTGGTGGGATCAAGCCCTGTGTCTGGCTCCATGCTAAGCGTGGAGCCTGCTTAAGATCCTCCCTCCCTCCCTCCCTCCCTCCCTCTCTCTCTCCCCCTCTCTCTCCCTCTCCCTCTCCCTCCCCCTC